CAGGAATAGTACTTTCATCAAATGGCAAACGAATGGTCACAATTCTCGATTTGGATGATCTCTCTTGTCATCGGAGACACATGGACCAGGTTGAGTTCAATACCAGAGGTCAATCTGTTAACGGCACTCCTGCTGTTTCAAATACTAATGAGTCCTTTGTAGATGATCTTGTGGTATCCGAACAAAATGCTGTATCTGAAGAACGTACTACCTGTGAAGATTCTGAAGTTTCCATTCCGAGAAGATCCGAAAGACTGCGGTCAAGACCACCACTGGACTATAAACACCCGCACGCTCATTCAAGGTGTGGCGGATGTGATGAACATGACTGATGCTCTATTCATTGCTCTATTCATCATACTCTTGTTTTAATATTCCATATGCTGTACATATTCGCCAATTCGAATACATACGTGCTGGTTGCCTCGCTGCGCTGAATTCTGGATTTCTAGTTTGTCGGGTTATACCGATATACGTACGAAACTCAATTCTCACAGTTTTCCAGATAATAGGATTTTACATATACGTACGAAACTCAATTCTCACAGTTTTCCAGATAATACAAATGGATTTTACAAACGAAACAACCACCGAATCAATCAGATAATAAAAGGATGCTTAATTCGTCCACCAAGTTTGACAAACCAGTTAGATATTCATCTGTAACTCCAATAAGCATTTCTTTACAGAAACAACCCCGTTCTGGGCACATAAGGTTTCATCAATGGCTCCTCAAAATGTGTCCCAATTGACAGTAGTTAGCCCTATGCGTTCTCAATCTTTCGACTGCACTGTACCATCTGGCTAAGACGCACGTACCTGACCTCTCACGTGAAAAATTAACCGCTCCCCGATGAGGGGCATCAACTGAATATCCATTGGGACTTCACTAGCTAACCAAACCTAACGTGGTTATCCACATGCTGACTATCATGCACTGTGTCTTGGTCTGCTTTGGATTAGAGGAACCCGGTCAACTTAATTTTATCTAGCAGGCGAAATGAGATTATCACGGACAAAGCTGTTTGTCAGGTGTACGATGATTTTATTCATGTTAGTGTTACACTTTAGATTTAAAACTTTCCTCTTTCGTTTACCGGGACAGTCATATTGAAGAAAATATTCCTTCATGTTTAATAGATAGACATTCCTTGTAAGAAGGGGTCATCGTAATGCTAACCGTCACCCAGTAAGGTCATGGAAGTGGTGAGAACAGGTTTCAGGCGTAACGTTGGCCACTACGTGTGTCGCTTTACCGAACACGGTACTCACAAATTTTAAGATCGGTCAGGGCGAAGGACGAGGAAGAACGTACAACGTTTATATGACTGTAAAAAGTTATCAAGGTGGTTTAGAACCACGGCTTGTTAGCCCTACGAATGAAGAATATTCAAGGAAATATTGACCGGAATTGCATTATTTTATGAAGTTGCGTAATGTGTACTACTTTGTGCTTACGTTTCAAAACAGTTGCTCAGGAACTGAACAGCGAAGATCCGCAAGGATATGAATCTATTATACCGTAACTTTTCCAAGAAATGAAAAGCAGTATTGTGAATTCTTTGTAACGGTAAAATTACCGGAACGCATAGTAACGGAAAGCTTACCTTTTCAGCATGTTGTACATTTTTCTCCTCCCGTGGATGACTACAGAAGCAATAAGCATTAGGTGGCAGGGAAATTCAGACATACGTTTCGGTTCGGCGCTCAAATATGTCATCAAAGTCATCTATATCGAATAACCTAGATTGTGGTATGCCACACTTTTCCTCACAGGCAGATAGAAACAACGTAAGGTTATCCTGTGAATAAAGAGAATGAAGTAAGTGACTAAAGACAGATTATGATCGAGGAGTAATGTGAAATACTGACGGGGAAAAGCGTCAAGTTGCTCATCACCATTCTCGAAAAATATACCAAAAGTAACTCTGTGGCAGCACCTGTGCACCAACAACTCAAAGCTGGTTGACTAATCTACCCAATAAGTGTCAAGTGGAACTGTCCGCAATTGTGGGGGGCACAAGGCAGTTGCACCAGAAACGTACACTGAAAATGATCTACCCACCTTCCACAATCAACGCAAAATAATGAATTGGAAGTGCGAACGGAGAAGTATCAGATTCCAAGATATAGTGTGGCAGACATCTTTTAAAGATTCTGTTATTTAGTCAAATACAATGTCTTCGTTAACACTTGCCTTACAAAGTTTGCTAACCTGCTCACAGCGAACAGACGTTTGCTTGATGATATACAAGCATTCCACAATCCTCGATCTCCATCAGGTGTCTTTTGAGCTGTATTCTCCACCAACAGTGTTCGGAAGAGCAAATCCTTCGATCAAACAGAGGACTTCCTTTAACTATCCTAAACCGCACAAGTAGACACCTGTTTCTCACCATTCTTGATAACTTGCTCAAGCTCCAAAGAAAAATCGCTTACACTGAGTTGAAAATAGGAGTCGCGTGAAGCAATGACGAAGAGAAAGATACGACGTATCAACCAGATTTCACCAGTACTACTTAACTGTACATAGGGTAATCAAAGAACTAGGCAACCGGCGAACCAGCAAAAATGCACATCCATACTGGCGAATGTCCGTTGGTTGGTCGTACGTGCAACGCGAAGGAACTTGAACGGTACACTCTTGAATTTGTTCGCTAAATGAATGTCTGCAAATACCTTGGTTGGAGTAGTGAGGGTGGAGAAGCCAAAGTGGGATACACTATTAGAGTACCCCCTCTATAGCACAACGTCGTGAAAGCCAAGGTTCGGCCCTATGAGAGAGATGTTCGTAGGAGGAATCATAGTTTTTGACAACCACGAATGGTCCGTCTGTCCACAACCATCCCTGTCTTTTATAGGAAGATACCTTTGAATGTGTAAACTAAATACGGAATTACGGAAATTGATTTGGGAATTAATCAGAATGGAATACGATACCGAATGAAAAGTGACCCATAGAACATATCATCCATCTCTAACCATCGAGAATATACCCATAAACAGCTTGAGAAAGCTCAGTGGCTAGGGTAAGAACATAGCGACCGGAACGTTCGTGGTTCCAACCCAACCCCTGAACCTCGAATTATCCTGTCCAGGCTTGGGCAATTTGGCAATATCCCAGCCCGCGTAATTCCTTCGAGTGGCATGGCAGCTAGATACCGAAAGGGTGTTACAGACGAACTATTGTTATTATTGTTATTATTATTGCCCATAAATAAGGTCAAAAAAACACGCGCATCCAGCAGAATCATGAAACCTTTTGAAGGCACTGAATACCTTCGCCAGAAACTGCGGTAGCTGTACTTTAGGATGAATTGTATCAGCCAATGCTCGTTACTCGCCTGTGAGAAAAGGGAATATTAGTCTACTTCTATGAGAACGTCCTACGAAAAAAACGTTTAAATGTCACAACAGAATCGCAGGACGAGGCTTGGTAGCAGAAGAACATCATCATCATCATCATCAACGACAGCATGACATCAGTGTTCAACACCAATGCTTCACTGCCGTACAGCCATGACTTATTTGAAAGCCTTATTGTAAAGAAAAGAATAAAGGTGGATGGGGGAGGGACTTAGTGCTAGCTTAACACAATCATTCCGAGGTGCCATGACCTACACAACCTACCATGACCTACCATGACCTACAAAACTAACCAATAGCAGAAGCCCATCTTGGCAGCATTAAGTATTTCCTCAAGGAGTATTCTCCACATGCTAATGGAACTAGTTTATTCCGGTCAAAAGCAGTCCTTTCATCAGCATAAGCACCTTCATCGCTCAGGTTTGAACACCCAAACTTGTATCAATTTTCGCCATTTATCTAGCCGTACATCTGGTGACAAAACATGTGTTGCTCAAGAGTGGGAAACCATCAACGCTCCCTCCAGAATCCAGTCAATTTGGAAGGTAACCAATTGCTCATACCATACAAAACTTTTCCCCTATTTCATCTTCCTAACTTTCGCAGATATACTGTCCTTCATTGGTTGGTTTTCTCTCAGAACTCCAAATTGAGCATATTGCTTCCTTCGATCTGTCCAATGCATCCGGTCGGGTTTTTCCAACTGTAAACGTTTTTTTGGAATTATTAATAAACTTTTGCAGTGTTGACTCCTCTAACGTGAAGGCTTTGACCTTTCGTGAATTCGAAATTCGAGACGCGGTAGTGCGCGCAACAGCGGCTCGTTAATCATTTTGCTTGATATTTCGGACACTAAAGGCCACTACAGAAGAGAGAAAACCAACATTGACTACTGGAAGTGAAGCAGTGGACATTCGAGATGATGTGTGATTCCCCTGAGTGTTGGCTGATATGCCTGAGACTACAAATATAATAAAAACAATCGCTCAGCTGTATTACCCTTTCGGTGCCTAGCTGCCATGCCACACGAAGGAGGCACGAGAGCTGGGATACTGCCAGGTCGCCCAAGCCTAGACAGGGGTAGTCGAATGGCAGAGGTCGGGTTCGAACCACGGACCTTCCGGTCAGTAGATTCGCGCCCTAACCACTTGAGCCATCTCTACCTACTGAGACTAGGATTTAAGGAAGAATGATTACCAAGTGGAGCGGAAGGCAGGTTAACAGAGACATGAAAACTGGTAAGTTTTTGCTTATACAATGTGTTGTATGCCGACGTGGCATGAAGGTACCTTTGCTAGTGTGGCTTGTGGCGGTATCTGAACTTATAAACTGTGAGAACACCCAGATCTAGACAGGGCTATTAGGATCCTGGAACAAAAACTAAAAAGTCTGACAGCAACGACTCAGTGGTTGGTGTAAGGCTACCACAGTGTCGAAATTTTAGAGGACAAGTTGCCAAACATGTTTCGAACCTACACGTCGCGCCAAAAAAACTGTATCTTAGGCATACTGGCCATCCTGAAAGGAGAGCTTCTGAAGACGCCGCATCAAAATCCTCCAGTGTAGCTCAGTGGCTTGCTAGAGTGGTCACTGTAGAGGGCACGGTGGCGCGTTATGATACACCTTAATATGCCTCGGTTAGATGCCATTCTCGGCAGAAACCTTGTTCTCTTTCAGTTTTGTTAGGATTACAGACAAAACATGGAAAACTAAGTTGGCTGGAGCAAAGCCGCTATGAATAGCTCGAACATACATCGTCAGACGACCTGGCAACCTCTGTGCTCGCATGAATGGAAACACTTGGCCATCAGTACCTACGTCCTAAAAGCGATCGACCAGGCTCACTAATACCACCATTACAAATACCGGCCGGAAATCGTTTTCATGTTGTGGTGGTTAGAGCTGCCACAGTTTCATTTTCCGACGATCATGGAAAACAGACGGCAGTCTATGATTGACAAGAGTGGTGCGAATGACAGTGAACTCTTTAATGAGAATTTCAGCAAAGGGAGATATGAACTTAAGGAACTTAAGGTACTGTCTTTTAGTAGCACTGTTGAGGTGCCTCATCTTGGGGTCCCAATTGAGGGAGACGCCAGCGAGTTTGCCGGTGACAAGTTGCGTCAAAGTCCTATCCCTGCTTGTGCAAAAAGGATTATTTGAGGAAGTCCACAGACTGTAAAAAGAAACACGTGAAGCAAACATATACACCTTGAAAGTTATTTTGGCAGCAAATCACTCTATAAACTGATCCGATGAACTGATGCTCCGAAGGCATCTATTGTCAGTCCCACCAAACGCTTCCACCTTGTCGTGCTTGTCGGCCTTAAGTGTTGTTATGAACCCCGGACCGTACCGACTGCAACTGCCTTCCACAAGGTGCAAACGTTTGAGGAAAACCAAAGGGGAACCGTCAGACTAGAAACAGCGAAACACCATACTACGGTTAAGCCTAAACGAGGTGGTCTGGCAGTAAATTGCTACTGTCTTTTGTGATAGGAATATGACGGCAGAAAGGGGTTTCCTCCATAATTGTAGAAACGATTATGTTTTTTCACTCGGGGAAGAATAGGTTAGAAGCAATCAAAACTTGCTACGAGTCCGGTGCCGCTCCAAACGTATCCGCTGTACGCGTTGGCGTCAGGAGTGTGACACCTATGTCTTACTCCCTGTGCCCACGAGGTAGATCAGTCCTCTGCAACCGAGGGGTCAGACTATTGAGTCAGTGGCATCGGGCAGTGTCCTATGGGAAAACGCCACTGGTTCCCGCTCTGAGTCGGATTTTCAAGCTAGAGTCAAGACATTTTACCTCAAGCAAACTCCTTTTTAGGCCTGGGTAGCCAGGAAGTAGTATTCGTTCTTGCAGTTCTTCGTTCAGCCCTACCCACTCACCTCGCCCTATCCATCAGTGTAAGCGGTGTGCTGAATCCTCGTCCACGGTTGCTCCGTGTCCAAACTACCGGTCAGTGAAGTAAATCTAAGCAATCTTTACTAAACGCAAAAGATCTGGCCTACGACGCCGCTTTCAATTCCCTCACTCTGTGAAATTTGGAAGCATGTAACCTGCTGAAACTTCAGTTTCCCTTTCTCCACTTCAGTCACGCACCTTAAAACAAGCAGAACGAGTTCAGATGATTCATATTTCATTCTTTGTGTGTTCGGGGATCCAGATATAGTAGTTGATGGAATGTATGGTACGCGAGTTGCACTCGCCTCCAACTTTGAAAACGCTTTATTAGACAGGACTCAGCAAGCACTTATCTTTGTCATGTACGGTTGTGTGGTTCAATTACTACTATTACGGATCGACGCAGTAAACGGTGTTTATTTGCGTCGTCAGCATATATCCACGCTGAATGAAGTCCTGAAGCTGAAAATGACGGGGTCTTACCTAGATCTGTCATGGACACTTCGGTAATCGAGAACGGACATAATAATCTTGGTAGGTGATATGAACGCCCAATTTGGATGGAGCACAATTGGGTGGTATCTTTTAGGTCGACGCATAGCGTTCGAACAATGGAGAGCGATTTCATCAGTTGTACTGAACATCGTACGCTCTCGGCCAGCACGAAAGTTCAGCACAGGTGCTCATACTGAGTTAGCTGGAGGTAACAAAAAGCAGGGTACTCACGAACTCAGTTCGATCTAATGACCATGAATTACCAGCAGGGTTGGAGTTTCTTTCAAGATATGTAACTTGACTCCGATTAAAAAGCTATGTGCACTCAGCTATCAGTTCACCTTCCATCAGGATTAAGCATGCAGAAACACACCATTTAGGTTCACCATCGTTAACGAGTTTCAGTAGCTCAACAATGCCTAGTTGACCTGATTAGAAAGCTTTTGGAAGCACACAGTCATGATGATGACGAAGATTGATTGAAAGATAGATGAAAGAGAATGAAAGAAGCTACGTTATCCGACTTTAGGACTATCAGTCCAGATGAACGCTGGATATTGTCGGGATCAGATCTCATTGCTGCCAGAAAAGGCAAACCAGCAAAGTGTAACTGAGACTGCGCACACAGATCTCTCAACCGCCGGATAATCGAGACCCTCAAGAGTTATGTGGAACGTAGGTGGATTGCGAACGTCCAGAATAGGGAGTCAGTCTTCTTCGCTCGCAAGAGCCCCGCCCCATTTCAGGTGATTTGACCAACAAGCCAAAGACAGGTATCGGCGAAACGATTTGCGTAGTGGTGATACATTCGCAGAATCGTCGTCTCATGCGATAGGCTGAACACCTTGAGGAACAATTAGAATGGCTTTCTTCAACATAATCTATGGAAGTACTCAGAGAACCTGAGTGCTGCTACCGCAGTATGCCGTCGTCAGAACAGAAAATCCAGTGTGGGATAAAATTCCTCCAGAAGAACAAGATATTCAGCTAGGGTAGCTTTTAACTCCCACTTTTCAAAGATGACGAGACCCTGACAAGGAGTCTGGCGACCCCGATACAAAAGATTTAGTGATCTGGGAATTTAAGGTGAAACCAAGAATAGCATAGTCAGTGATTCTTGCTTGATGAATAAGTCTGGATAAGTCGTGATAGGAAGTATCCTCAGCGTCAGCACTGCGGTCGTTGCAAGATAAGTTTACACTGCACACGAACACTAGTATGGTGTTTGGAGCTTGTTCGGGCTAGGTAACCGAACAGCAAAACCCATCTAGCTGCGCGGTTGAGTGCAACTCGTACACTATATCTTCAATGATTCATCGCTCCTGGACCATTGGAAACAAGACCAAGATGCAAAACGACTGCGTTCGGCCTGAACGCTCTTAGATGCGTGACCACGTTGGGGCCTCGTATGTTCCAGAGACGCAGCATACACCAACTTTAAGAGTAGATGACCTGGGCGAGGATCACCTACTTGTCAATTTGACATAGTAGAGAACTCGAAAGCCTCCGCGTAGGAAACCTGGTAGATTTAGCAAATAGGTATTGTTTCTTGTAAATGGGCTATGGGTTGAGTAAGGCGAATTGGTTGGGTAACTGACACTCAGATGGTCCAGCAATGTTTGCTGGCATACTGAGAAGGAATCCGGGAGGGACATCTGCGAAGAACGAACTGCCATGGTGAATGGCACTTCTCAGTTACTCATGCAAAAGAAGATGGTGTAGTCGAGGTACCTTAGCCTTACATCGAGTGCTTGATTTAAGAGTCCCACCCACGAGGCAGTGGGAGGAAGTGGGGCTTCATCCTAAGACTCTCCCAGTAGTTTCCGGCTTAACCCACAAGGCAGGGAGCTGTAGGGTTTCATCGCAGGACCCTGCACGATGCCACTGACTCAATAGTCTGACCCCTCGGTTGCAGAGGACTGATCTACCTCGTGGGCACAGGGAGTAAGACATAGGTGTCACACTCCTGACGCCAACGCGTACAGCGGATACGTTTGGAGCGGCACCGGACTCGTAGCAAGTTTTGATTGCTTCTAACCTATTCTTCCCCGAGTGAAAAAACATAATCGTTTCTACAATTATGGAGGAAACCCCTTTCTGCCGTCATATTCCTATCACAAAAGACAGTAGCAATTTACTGCCAGACCACCTCGTTTAGGCTTAACCGTAGTATGGTGTTTCGCTGTTTCTAGTCTGACGGTTCCCCTTTGGTTTTCCTCAAACGTTTGCACCTTGTGGAAGGCAGTTGCAGTCGGTGTGGTCCGCGGTTGATTGCAGTGCACAAGGCTGACAACTATGACATGATAGCTGCTTTTAGTTGCCAAAATTACCGCTCTTTAGCGGCATTTTTTGAACACGAATCGCTCTGATCTTCGTATTACACTCGCGTTCTGCTGACGTTAAGATAGAAAAGTAAGGCTTTCCTGAACTGCGCTGATTCACAGCAGAATGAATGGCCAAATCCATTTATCACGTCGATGTATATTCCGCCGACTAACGAGATGACAGGGCCGAATGGGATAATGAAACCATCTACACATTGTAGAGTTTCCTGTATGCAACCTGGTGGTATGTTAAGGCTTTAAACTAGAGGATCATTCTGGAATCATCGCATCGGTCTTTTCCAGACAGAAGCTGCTGCACTGTCGGAAGAAGTGTCGAAAGCTAGATTACTACTTTCCCCTTATATGTTTTCAGCACTGGTATTCTAATCAGCCTTAACAGTCTAACCTGACCCAATCCTTTCGACTTATTCCCCTTTAGCTACCATATCTGCGAGAGAATCCCTGAATGCAGTCAATGAACGCCTGGTTACATTATGTTTTATTTAACACCAGAACTCCTGTTTTCACTGTTTTAGGCGTATACTCCATGGCTTGACAGTACTTCACCTTCTAGAGTGAGCCCTTTAAAAAGCAAGATATGGCAATGCCCATTAAATCTTTTAATTCCATGGCCTCTTTATCTGATAGTAATCTAAAGTACGGCGCCACATGCGGGCTCACAAGACCAGCAAACCACCAAACTTCGAAAAAATGCAGACATCAAATTTGTGCGCGTTACTTATACTTGGGATGAACTGTGGGAACACACGCCAAGTCCCACATCACCTCATTCAACCTAATGAGTTCACCCAACGACACAGTGAAGAAGTTTTAGAGTCGATTTCCATGTCATTTAGAGTCTATGGTTGCTTATATTCATAGAAGTTCATACTCTGGACCCGGCTGGAATAAAAGTGATCAAGTTATTTTCGATTCGATTTCGAGCGGCGTTTCTGATACGGCAAGGAAGCTATATGTCAACAATATGGTCGAAAGATGGGGCGCGTTCAAATAATAAAAACATGAACTCACTGCAGCAGAAGCCCGACTCGGGCAGTGATTGATGCGCTTGATTGCACCTGGAACAATTGCGTTCATTAACCTGCAGAGAATATATGACAGACACGCATGCGCACCTGCAAAGCGTTTCGCCAGTAACAAATATGCTTCGATAACTTTCACATGAGGGGATACTGGTTCCTAGAATATTCTTTGACAGAATATTCAACCAGAAATCTTCACCTACTTCAATCCACGTGAGAGTGGCCTGAAATGCTGGTTGGGCATTTTTGTAGCGCTGATGATCACTGTCGGGAAGCCCGTCTAAAGTTTCTTTAGGCATGTCGACCAATGGATGTCTTATCACAGCCTGAAACACATAGTGAATAAAACAACGGACAGCGGAAAGGCATCCCCAGCCTGTTAAATTCGCGCCATCTGAGCAAGCAGTTAGATAGTTTCGAGGTCAGCCATTAGACTAGACGAAAGTTAGCATCAGGTTCAACAAGTTCATTTTCCAGTATAGTTGAGAACAATGAAAGCCTTTTAATCATGGTTGATGATTCTGACCCTGAAGATAATTTTTTAAGATGTTCAAGAAAGGCGGTAACTTTACGACCTACGCCGCTTTTGCGCCTCTCGCAATTTCACTTATTTCGATGACGGCTTGTCATCCGTTTCAAGTTTTCTCCCGCTAGTAGGTTGTATTTCGCGCATCAGCACAGAACAATCCAGAAAAATCACTTCCCTGATCTTCGTGACTTTGCCTGACTCAACCGATTCCGTCTAGTTCACATCCGTTACCTCACGTAAAATTCTGACCTGCATTCCAGCTTAAATTTGAGAAACAGATGGGCCGAATCCAGGCTAGATCTCCTATGTATGTTTTTATTCGAGTGGATGTGCCGCACAGAGGCCACCGCATTTAGTTCGGTAAATCGCACTTTATTTTCCTGTGGGAACCGAGGAGTAGACTTCCTTCCAGAGAGCGTCAGATACCGGCCACCAATCGCTTTATAGTCACAAAGCTCACTTTTGCTCACACAGTACACTTGAAAGCCTTTCGAACCACGGATATAGGGACCGACCAATGCGGAGAAGGAGCTACGGCAGGTTAGTAACCAATATTGTATTTTGGGACTGATCCCCGATAAGTGCTAACGGAACTCACTGGCCTTTCTAGATATGATTTCATTGCCTAATCTCAGTAGTTCCGAGGTTCCGTTGTTTGTTTCGTAACGCATTTGTCCATTCCTGTGTCTTCTCCTCTTCTGTTTACCCTTACCTTACCTCACACGCCTCTCTCCGACCTCACCAAGGAGCACTCCCTTAGTGGCAGCAAATTTATCCACAAATTTATCAACAAATTTATGCCGATTCCGATAGCTGGGGAATACCTCCCGGCCAAATGCGCCTTTGATCCTTGGGGCGACTCCGGGGAAGCTAGTTTAACAGGACTCTAATTACTCAAGCCCCTCCCTCACGCTTGGTGAATGAATGAATTGTAGGATTCCAGTCTCCAAAAGAGGGGGCAACTCACGCTCCATCGCCAGGGCAACATTGCGTCCACCCGTTTCGAGGTAGAAGCTAGGTCTAGCAAGTTTATCATGCGAAGCACCCTGCTAAGCACGATATCCCGTGTGGTTTGTTGTCAAGTTATCTTCCCCGCCGGCATCAGGGCGACTGGAGTAAACTTGATTTTAGGGAGGATCCAACATTCACCCATCTGTGGCTCATCCCACCCAGCTGAGCCACGGAGGGAAATGCTGCTGCGCGACGCCTAAATGCCAAAGACACCTCCAACGGCACAATCAGACCGTGCACCCCTAAAACTATCGGTAGCCATCGTGTTCGCACTAGAGTCGATGACCTCTTATCCTTTTCTCTCAATATTTTAATCTAAGCATCCGGTTCCTCGGACCAAAAAACCCACCATAATTTGCCTAACCAAAATATACGGGCTTAGGAAAGACGCAGTGTACCAAAATTCCAAGCCCGCGGTCTAAAAACTGAGGAATTGCCGTTAAAAACATGTCAACCCCAGTGACAACTCCAGTAGACCGCTCCCTGATGATGATGATAATAATAATCATAATGTTTATTCCCAAAATGTGGGTGGCCTACCGTCTGGCATGATCATAGTTTTACAGTCAGAATGGTGCATGACTGAGGGATTTGTGGGGGTGCGGAATGCACAAAAAGAGGACAATATCATCGGGGAACACCCGATGATATAGCAATAATAGGCTATTTCCCAACTTGTTGGGAAAAATGGGCATGAGGTTCGACTAGATCAAAGACAGTCAGGTGGCATGAACTAAAACTGAAAATCATTGCTGGCCATGAGTGACCTTGGGTGGTTAGGTAAATGGCCGGAGTCACAACGAGCAAAAGTGGAGATGGCGATGGAATAATTCAAATTGGGAGCACACGACAAGTTTTGTCTCAAAAATGTGGTTTAATCTGAAAGCAAGCAGACCCACTGGTTGCACTGTTGTAGGGATGTCGGATGCAGGGGAATAGGTTGGATGGGGGCAAGCTGCTTATACATAGGGCAACCTGAACTCCGTATACGGATTTGGACTTGTGCAACAGGCAAGTCGAAACTGCAGCAGGAAAGCCAGGTTAGCCAAATCTGAGCGAAAATTTATTGGGTACGGAAGAGCTCATCCCAGAGACGTGGCCGGATGGGAACTGCTCGAAGTTGTGGCTACAGGCTTGAGTGGGCGAGGGGTTGCGGTCGAGATTCTAAAGAAAATGGTTGCGGGAGTGCGATCTCACTGGGTATGACAGCTCCATGCCATCATCGCACTTACATGCTTCGGTTTGTGGACAACCCCGTAACGGTCGTCAAGGGTCGGAAAAGGGATACGCAGTTCCGTAGTGAAACGGAGATTGACACGGAGTTATGCAGACGTAGGCTCACGGATAATTTTCCTTTTGTTAGAGGACCGTGTGAGTGTAGACCGGCACCAGCCAGTTCGAGTGAATAACAGTTCTAATGGGCGTTTGGGCAACTGCGGTCGAGGATTGAAGCTTGGGAAGAGGGGCGAAGAGAAAGAAATAGAATGACTGTCAGCAGTGACAGTGAACAAGTGAATAGCGTAATCAACAACTCTGACTGACTATGTGATGAATCCAGGGTTGGAGTAAGCAATGGCATTAAGTCAGACATCACAGCGGTTACTATGTTGAGGCACTGATCAATAATATCTATACAAGTGAGATGAAATTTCTAGTTGTGTTGGCTACTGAGAACGAACCACGTGCCAATGAAAGCATAAACAAAGAAATGGGACGCAGCTTTGGTGAACCAAATGAGGAAAGATTGCTTGTAATTAGGGTAGAAGAGGATCACAGCGGAAACAATGACCTTGTGAGAAGATTTGTACTGGTGCTAATCAGAAATGTTAACGTTGACATCATTCTTTCACAGGTCAAACGGATCAGCCACATATCTGGCCACATCCTAATTTCCATAGCCGAATACTCTGTGTCTAGCAGTACTTCCAAGCAGACCCCGAAACAAGGTCAATCCAGCTACAGACAAACAGCAACGCTGCTCTTTTTTGGTTTTCTTGAATTAAAGGCCAGGCTCAGTACCACCGCCGATGGGCGATACACCCGTGCTACTGGAGGGGTGGCGAGTATACGAACGCACCATGGTGCAACGTAACAGGGCGACCCTCCCTGCGGGGCGTACCCGTCCACCACACGAGGTTTTCATCCCTTGTGCATGCTACCAGATCTGCAAGGTGGAAAACCATCCAAGCCTATCCCGTCCCTCATTCACCCAAAACTTTCCTCTCTGTACCCTAGGTTCACTACCCATCGATTGTTCCACCCGATATCTCTGTGACCAAACCGCTTTCCTAACGGCTTATACCCAACCCCTCCCCTTGCCAGCCACGTCTTCCTGCCAGTTTCCACTGCCCACATATTTACTCTTCTAATCCTTATCCCTCTCATTCTGCCTCCGAGCCCGATTTCATCCAATAGTAGTTTCGTATTCTCACCCATCACCGTCCCTCCCTGATATTCTACTCGAACCAACCCGCCACCCTCCCCATTCAGCCACGCCTGACTACCTATCTTCTGAGTGGGCCAGAAAGGAAGACAAACGAGAGTATTGAAATGCTTCTATACCAACTGCCTCTGCCCGTAAATGTCCCCTGAACTGCATAACTCACTATGGCTGCCGTGTCCCTTTAGTATCTTTCTGAATCTTAACCTACTGCAGATTATTAGATTCAGAAATCAGCCCCCAGGTCACACAGCGGATCGTATTATTATTAATAATAATAACAATGTTTATTCCCAACTTCTGGTTGGCATGCCGTCAGGCAGGATAATAATGTTACAGGTAAGCAGGTAAGCACAGTTGCCATGCACTGTTGATGAGAATATCGGGCAAGATCGGATCGTTGGCATTTGAAAGTGGTGGACAAAATAAACAAAGCGAGGGGGGCAAATCAAGAGGCCTCCTGCCTGACACATGACAAGGAAAGTGTAACGGAGAAAAATTGACTCACCGGTCATACGCACATGTCTATGCGCTTAAGTGTACAATCCCAAACACAGGGCCACGCACAGGGCCTACACATTTCGCCACATATCGAATACCACGCTTATGTGGTTCACTGCTTACAGGCTGGCGCGTCCATCATCGAAGAGATATCTTTTATCATACCTTCTGGTGCACCTCCCGTGTTGGCTTTTCACTCCAGTTAATCCTCCAGGACTTTAACACTCCATCCGTTGACAGGACAGCGCTCTTTCCTTGATAAGGTTTCGAGCACCTATTCTTACAGATGTTACATTCAAAGAGACAATGCAACCATCTTGTCCAACTAATGTGTTTTCGCACAGAACATCGACCTTCCTCAAAGGACCTCATCCAGGCTACGAGCATTCCACGATGAACGGTATCGAGAAATCCTTATTTTGTGCTGGACCTCGTCTACTATGCCAATCCTTAGACGCGCCCTAAAAATTCCCCTGAAACCAAAGCAAAACAACAGACATGTCCACTTAATATCGCGGCGTTTGGCGGCATTCATTCAGGAATCTAAACTTTTCCTAAACAGTCATCATTTTGTCAATGTTTGTTTAAACGAGTTCAAAGTCTGCCTTCAGCGTACATTTCATTTCTTAATAGCCGTCGTTGCACAGCTTGATTGGTCTGTGACCTTGGTTGAATGTTCTTTAAAAGTCAGTTTCTTGACATTTTCCTCCTTGCACCGCACTTGAAAATGCTCTGAAGAAGAGGGGAACAATAATTATATTAC